GTCTTTTATAATAATATCAGGTCTGTTGGCTTTTATTTCCCTGTTATTTTGAATTGGCATGTCCAAGAGGATGGTTACCTCGCTATTTGGGGTAACTGTGTCTGGTTGGTGCTTATACCATCTATCAGTGGTTTCGATTTTTGTGCTTCTTGCATATCCTGAGATGATATGGTCGACAGTTTAATCATATTTTCCGCAGATCCTGTATTTCGGGTTAGTTCCATCCTTGATTACGTGACAGTGATAGAATCTGTTTGCGAGGGTTTAGTCCAGAGCCGTAATAATTAAGCCTTCTGTCTCAGCTTTCAACCCGGTACTCCTCAGTCACTGATGTGTTTTCTGGTCGTCCACATCTGTTTCTTTCGTTCTTTTTACGTATTTGCCATGCAACGCTTTGTCCTAGTAGTTTTTTTTTGTATGTTTTTTTTTTTGTAATTTCATTTTCTCAAGTTGGTTTGATTTCTGTTTTACTCGTTTGGTGTCAATGGTATTCGCTTCATTTTTGTTGGTAAGATTTCAGGTACATTAAGCTATTTCTTGAAGAGTGCAGTTTCTTTTTAACGCAGTAGATTTGGCGTTTTACTATTTGTAGGAGGCGGTCATTGGTTTTTGTGAGATATGCTTCCAATCCGATTGTTGCAGTCTTTAAAGTTAGTTCAAATTCGATTAGACTTCGGCCTCCTAAAGCTCTTGGCACGTAAAACATCTGATTTCGGGTGGTGCATCCTTATTTGGGTAAGCATGTTTTCTGGTCTCGTTTATTATTATTATTATTATTATTATTATTATTATTAAAATGCATATTTCCACTAATTGTCTTCGGGTTTGTATTCAAATCTTCAGCATCTTTCTCCGTATCCGCAACATTGTGTTCTGATCAGTTTCATTTCTTCAAACTTGCTTTGCCTCCAGACTTTATTATTGCGTTTTAGGCACGATTCCAATTCCGCCATCTTTTCCAGGCACATTTGTGATCGTTCTTTGTGTTTATTGCCTGTCGCGGACTGACTTTATTCTAAAATATCTTCTAAAGCGACTAAATATACAGTATTTTCAACATTTTCTGTCGATTCATATAACTCCGTATATGATGGGTACAACATTTAGCCTCATAATTTCTTTAGTTTCCCTAAATAAGGCACAGTTTCTTGTTGGTTAGCAGTTATGAGGTATCGACAACGGCCTTTTTTCGTACATGGTCATGACAAGCATATTTCAGTAACACCTAGTTCCTGGGTATTCATCTGCACGACGGCACCTTCTCATTCCAGTAAAATGAAATATAAAAAAATCAGAATTTCCAATAGACTTTCATAGCTCGAACCCACCATGCCGCATACGCAGGGTCGACTCATTTTCATGCCGTTAATATTCCATTAGTGGGGAGGAAGAGAGATTTTCTTCCCCATCCTCATAATAGGTACCTCTGTCATAAAACATTAGAATATGAATCTACAGATCGCGATATCTACCAGAGAGATGAAATATAAATTTTTATTATTGCATTATTCCAAAATTTTAACACATCAGCATATCTCTATTAATGTCAACAACTGAGCATAAATAGTTGTTAATTAAAAAAAAATCGTAATTAATGTATAATCTTATCCATAATTACATGTGCAAGAGTGTCGTTTTTGATAAAAGTTAAAAGTTATTCATAAATATGCAAAAAATGCGTATATTGTCGAAAATTACTTTTTTTCACAAAATATCTATTTGTGCTATGCTTTAATGCTTATTACCTAACCAATAATAATACTGAAGAAATGTTTCTTAAATATTTAGGTATATTTAATCACATCTCCCTGTCGCGATCTGTTAATAAAAACTAAATCATTTAAAACACGATGTATAGATCAGTTACAAAAGAATTATTATACGAGACAAGGAAAATGAATATAGGATAAGCTGCGCTAAATGTAGCTTCGACCACCACCAATAATTGCTACAAAAATAAAACAACAACTTTAAAATTCGAGTCATGTTCGTAAATAGCCTCGTCAGATCAAAAGTTAGATATGGATGTCATACATGGCACCAAACCCGTTCAGAAATATCTAAACTGTCAGCTATATACAGGTGTAACAGCAAAATTGTCCAAATCGTGTTACAGCATAATTTTCCATCCCCACAAAATGTTTAATATATATATATATATATAAAAAACACTGAACTAATTTTTTTTCTTTTTTCCAGGTTTTCAGATAAAATGTTTAACCATCTTGATACTATTTGTCGTAAGAGTCACTGAAGAATCTTTTGAATTATTCAGCTAAAAAGAGAACAGGTTAAAATCGTTTTGTTTCAGCCCCCATTGTCTTCCCAAGTGAGCAATGGTGAGAGGAAAATCCTTCAGGCTTTCAGCAATGGTATCAACATTCATACTCTGGCCTCCATCTTTAAAGTCCATTCAAGAACCATCAAGAGAACGGTGAATAAGTTTAAAAAAGAGGGAACAGCAGAGAGGAAAACTGAATCAGGATGTCACAAAAGGAAGAAGGATTATAATTTCAACTTAGAGATAAAGAGATTAATTAGAAAAGATCCAACTCAATCCATAAGACGTTTGGCACGTGAGAAAAGAGTTTCATCTATGACAGTCCAAAGAGCTATGAAAGAAAAAAAAAGACTTGAAAATTATATCATCGTGAAACCTTTGAGTCATCTTGTTACTCCAGAACAGAGAGTTAGAAGCTTATAGTGGCCAAAGATCATCTCCTTAATAAGTTGGAAAATGATCCTGGAATGATATACATATATATTTGAACTTCATTTCAATCCATTATGATTATCTAATCATGATTAATTAATGATGAACACGTCATTTTCGTTTATGATCGATTCATAATTCTTCCGTTAAGCTTGGGGAGTAATTATACATTCTTATTGCTCAAAATAAAGCGCAATAGTGTTAAAAACCCGGGAAATTCCATGAAGATATCTTTAATCATTTCTAAGATACAATAGTTGAAACATTAATCTAACAATTTGACAGTGATTCTGTTATACAATTTGGACAATTTTGATGTTATACCCTTTATAACCGCTTTATAAGATCAATAGTTAAAAATGGCTTTGAGCAAATGAAGCCTGAGCGAAGAACATACTTTTTTCGAACCTTTTAGACTGACGCTACAGAATCACAAACAAAGAACTGTTCGAAAAAACAGAAACTACGGCACTTGAGTATTTTCAACAGCAGTAACAGCTAAATTGGACATTACGAGTAACTTGAAAAGAAAACAATGACATAATCATATTGACATTCCGCATTACATCAAATAAAGAGGTAGGAAGGAAGTCCATATCAATAATGAAAAGGGCAATAACAGCTACTTGACTTGAGAAACCTATTTTCCTGAAAAATATTTCAACAGATGTATATTATAACTTTCAACCGACAAGAGTACCGGCTGCACACTCAATGAATGCCGAATGTTTCTTCATAAGAAAACGGCTAATATTACCATTACACCCTTACTACAACTGCATTCACTTTCCCGCCGTAATGTAGATTCCCTGTGCCTTTTCTATAAAGATTTTCATGGTAATTTTTCTGATGGCGTTTTCTCTATGGTACTTAGACTTTAAGAATCTAAGCACCGTTGTAGATTAGCGGCTAGGTCTCATCATTTTACAATTGAAATGGCTAGATGAAAACGCAACTTTTATGCTAAGAGTTTTTTTTTCTGTCGCACTCCTCTCTTGTGGAACTCACTTTCGGCTTCCTATTTCCCAGCCATCATTAATCTTCAAATATTTAAATTCAATGTCAGTATATACTGTCTTCTTAAACATTGTTCTTTTATTCATCTCCCTCTTTAATGGCATTTTTCCTCATATTCTCTAACGCTCAATAACCCCTGCACCTTAGTCGCTTTATTGCCTTGCTTGAGGTGAAATGATAAAAAAACAATCCTCTACATTCTCTTTCTTTTTTTTTTTACCTCGTACTGGGTAAGCAAAAGTAAACAAAATCTAGGCAATTTATGTATAAACACATCCACAATTATGTATCCTTTCCCACATTAATTTCGCCTTTTGCCAGACTTTATCCTCATGGCAGGCAGTGAAAGTTTCATCTGTTTATTAAGGTCAGGAGGCGAGACTATGTTTGAAAGATACGTACTGTAAATAATTGTTCTTTTAAAGAAAATATATATTTGAGTTAATTAGATTTTCTCTCTTGAAACACCGATAATTGGAAAGAAATCAAAATCCGTTCAGAAAGACTAGCAAACGTGTGAATAAAAAGAAGGGTGTAGAACGAAAGAGAACTGCGAGAATGGAGAGAAGAAGAAATAGAAAGGAAAGAAAAGAAAAATGACAGTGAGTAAACAGAGCGAAAAAAGTTATTAGTATTTTATCCTATTTATATTTGGGACTATTATCCTCATCATTGTTTTTTTTTATCACAACATTTCAGCCGTTGTGCCTTTCGGATTTCCTGAGGTGTATATTGTTCTGGGTCAGGAGTTCACAGTTCTCTTTCCACTGCCCATTTACAGGGTTATATATATATATATATATATATATATATATATATATATATATATACACCTAGTGAGCCAGACAAACCTACCTTTCGTTTCACCTAAACGGATCGTCAGGGAAACTTTCCTGACAATCCGTTTAGGTGAAACCTAGGTAGGTTTGTCTGGCTCACTAGGTGTATCTAGGTCTGCTCTACGGTTGTATTGAGCTCTTTTGTTAGTTAGTTGTTACTCGTATCGGTTTTTTTTCTTGGGCTTCAGACCTGCATCTGTGCGATTTTTTTTTTTCGGCAGAAGATCATGTTTGTAGCTCTTACTTTTTTAAAACCTTTTTTTTCCCTCGAGATTTATTTGATTAGCAAATCAAAAATTCGAGGGTTTTTCGAAACGAGTCTAGTTATCTATATATATATATATATATATATATATATATATATATATATATATATATATTGCTCTCTCTGGATTTTATCCTCCTTGGGTATACCCATACGGATTACCTAGTTTTCCATAATCTATCTATCTATCTATCTATCTATCTATCTATCTATCTATCTATCTATCTATCTATCTATCTATCTATACATTGAGCTCTCTGGATTTTATCCTCCTTGAGTCTACCCATACGGATTACCTAGTTTTCCATCAACTAACTCTCTCTCTCCATCCCCCTCTCTCTCTCTCTCTCTATATATATATATATATATATATATATATATATATATAAGTCTAGTTCTAGACGACATCCCTAGTTATGGGCAGTGGAAGGAGAACAATCTATCCACGTTAGATTAAATAAAATATTCATTTCAGAATTCCCCTGTAGGTTACCCAGATTAGTATGCATCTGAGGAAGGCTGGAGGGTATAATGACCGAAACGTTGTGATAATAACAACAAAAATGATAACAAAAAATACAAATATAAATAATGTAAATAATGAAAGAATAAGAAGTGCAGTAAGTACAGGGTGTCTAGAAAGTCTGTAGAGAATTTCGAAAGTTATTACGAAAAATTCAGAAGAGGTAGCAACTAAAACTTAAAAAGTTATTTTAATGATATTAATAGTTTTATTAAGGATATGTTTTATTATTACACACCGTAATTAATGTCGTTTCTATGTCTCAGACGTGAACAGAAATTGAATATCGCTAAGATGTCTTTCATACAACGATTGTAACCCATGTAGAACTTTATTTACTGTTTGTATATAGACTTCATTATTTGGTTCACATTATGCAGAAATTTAAACATTATCCGTTTTTTGTTTTTTTTTTTGTAATTTCAATATTTTTCTATTTGTCTAATTGTTGCATAGCCCCCTCATTCTGGGAAGGCTTAGTCGCTGCGCCAAATTAATACAATGTACTATAGCCCCCCTCGTGTTCTTGGGCGATGGCGTCGATCTACACATATTCTGTATCTTCTCTCTCTCTCTCTCTCTCTCTCTCTCTCTCGCATCTTCCCCTGGCCGGTGATCGTTAGTCGGTTTGGGTTCAGAGATGAAAGAACTTCAACACAGGGGATTTTAACTTAGCGAGTTTAATAACGTCGAAGTATACATCTTCAAAATATCCAGTCAGGCCTTCTCCCCGTTTCAGACACGAAATAAAACACCTCTACATTGCTCAACGGTTAAGACACGACTCCCTGAAATCCCTTTCTATATCTATCGTTCTCGGGCTGGCTCAGCCAATCAAAATCGACTTCCTTGTTTTATCCTCCATTTGACCTCAAAGGTCAAACCCAAGCACTCAGCGCAGCAATACTAGTTTATTAACGTCGACGTATACAACTTCTAACTAGCCAGTGAGGTCGCTCTCTCCCTCCACAGGGGAACAGTTTCCAGACGCGAAAAGACCTTTCTATATCTATATCTTTCCCACACTCGTTCAGCCAATCAAAATCGACTTCCTTATTTTGTCTTGTATCTGATTCCTAAGGTCAACCTGAGGAAATCAGAGTAGCGATACACCCTTCCTAAAAATAATAGTCTGCTAAACTGTTATTTCAAATAATGACTTTGTAGAGACTGTATATTATTAGATAAAAAGGGAATTAAACTAGATTGAGAGAAAATGAAGAAAGAAAGGAAAGAAAGAGGTAAAAGAATAAGACAGAAAGAAAAGGAGAAAGAGGAGGAGAGCAAAAAAAAGGAAAATGATCATAAAACAGAGAAATATAGGGTGACCCCAAAAAACGGGAACTATTTAACAATCCAATAAAACCAAGTGTGATGGAAGAAAAATATTTTATTCATAGCAATTGAAACCTTAAAACATGCCATTTAAGAAACAATGATGGAATTTTCATTTTTTAAAAATTACGTCCTGTAGATGATGTCCTCCTGTACGAATGCATTCTTGAAATCTGCTGTTGAGATTCCTCATTGACTGCTGCAACATCTCAGCTGAGATACTGTGAATTTCATCTTGAATTCTAAATGGCGAAATGTTTACTTGCTCAAGGTCACTGTCTCGCAGTGTTGCCACTTGCTCATGTCTGGCAATACGCACTTCAAAAATTCCCGTTTTTTGGGTCACCCTGTATAATGAAAAAGAGAGAGAATGAAAAGAAAGAAGAGACTGAGAATGAAAGAGAAAAACATAAACAGTAAGGAAAAAAAAAAACATTAAAAGCGAGACTAAAAATAAGAGTGAAATGTGAAAGAAAGGAAGAGGGAAATGAGAGTGAGAAGGAGAAAAATATTAAGATTTGAAAATGCATTAGACAAAAAGAAAGATAGACGATCAAGAAAAGGGAGAAGGAGAATAGAAGTGAGATTTGGTAAAAGAGAGAGTGTAAAAAGGGAGACAAAGTGAAACAAAGAAAGGAACAAGCAAGGGATAAAGAAGAGAAGGAAAGACGGAGAGCAAGAGACAAGAAAGAAAGAAAGAAAGAAAGGAAGAAAGAAAGAAAGAAAGAAAGAAGAGAAGCAGAAAGGATACTGAAAGAAGAAAAAAGAAAGAAAAAGAAAAGATACAAGCGAAGAGAAATAAGAAAATAGAAAAAAAAAGGGAAAGAAAAAAAAAGAGGAAAACAGAAAAGGCGAAGAAAAAAGAGGAAAACAGAAAAGGGGAAGATAAAGGAATTAAACGGAAAGAAAAACAGAAAAGCGAAAGATGGAAACGTAAGCAGAAAAATGAAAAGAGGAGATAGCAAAAAAGAGAAAGAAAAAAAAGAAAAAAAGAGAAAGAAAGTAGGAAAAGAAAGAAGAAAACAGAAACCAGAAAGAAAGTAAAGAAGAAAAAAGAAAGAAAGAAAATAAGAAAGAATAAAAGAACACAAAAAAGAGAGCATATTAATAAAAAAAAAAAGAAAATAGAGACGAAGAGAAAAATCTTTAAAAATAATAAATTATTGAAAGCAAGATGAAAATCGGTTTAGGAAAAAAGATTTAGTGTTTATTTTCATGCATCGTAAAAAAACTTATCCCCAATTTGTAAGCCTCACTTTCAAAAAATAAATAACTGACATAGACAAACATTATTAGTAACGCAAGGTTTTAATATTCTTTCTTTACTCTTTGCGGGCATTCTGAAGTTACAAGCCTTTGCAATCACCGGACTTGTCAGCCATTGAAACTTTATGGCTCAATCGTGACAGTCTTTCTTGTACGATTCAGATATAAATATCGCCTAACATAATTATGATTCCGTGAGTTATGGCCCTTGTTATTGCGAGTCCTCTTGCCATTGTGTCCGCCTCAGTGTAGGATTAATGGTGACACAAGAAATAATATGGACGCATTTATTTGTAAAAGGTGGGATACTTAATAAAAATCAATGCATGATTTTCAGTGTTGCACTTCAATGTAATATTCATCTTGTCGGAGAAAGCGTAAATTGGATTCTTTAAAAGCGCTATATTGGTTGAAATAAGCTCTTTTAAATCTCTAACAAAATGGCGTTAAAAAACAAAACCAGTGGCATCTAGCGAAGGCAGCTATCGCAAACAACTGCTGTTGATTTAGAACCACATTTGATGTCTCACTTTTGCAACAGAATATGTTAAACCTTGTGTGATGATTGGAGCATAAAGATTGCGATGTTTCTATTATCGCGGGGATATGACGGGTTGCCCAGTTCTTTGTGGACACGTCATTTAAAAGCTTTAACTTTTATTATAACTTGTTTTGATAATCATTCCTTTTTTCAGATAAAGGATTAAAAACATCAAGCTATGAAAATGCACGCGGTAATCGTTGCCTCAAAAGCAGTGCATAGTGAGTGCGCGCTTCCTGAAAGTTGCACCCTCGTCTGTTATCAAAATTCATAAAGAGCTGAACGTATTCTAAAAAGGAAACGCTCGCTAAGGGTCCTAATAACATCAGAACACCCGAATTTGTACGGAAGAACTGAAAAATAAAACGATAACAACCCCAGAAAGTCAATTAATACTATTAATAAGAGCCCGCTAGTTACATTCCACTACCGCTGATCAGACCTCGAACTAGAGCTGGTCACGATGAAAGGATGTCAGCTCGAAGAGACAGCTTGTCTTGAGAGAATATTGGGCCTCAAACTCACACCCGACCTCAAGTGAAACTCTTATATACGATCCATCGCTAAAGATGCAGGTAAAATGATAGGCTTCCTGTACTTCTCCAGTAAGTACATGACTCTTCATGCTACCCTGTACCTTTCTAAGAGCCAGATCAGGCCGAAAATGGAGTACTGTTACCATATTTGGGCAGGAGCTACCCGTTTCTCACTTTCCAAGGACTCAGAGACGCTTTTGAACTTGACAGATTTCAAAAGCGTCTTTGAGTCCTAGTTGGAGAATTATTTTCCACCGTCCAACCTCTCTCTCTCACAGGCGGGATGTAACGATCCTCTTACTGCTTTATCGCTACTTCCATTGAAAGTGCTCGGACGAACTACATTCCTTGGTTCCGCCAGGTCTAACCACCACGCCCAGGACCCACCTTGCCAAACTACCCATATTCCCTCCGTATCCCATTCACTGAAACAGCTTCTTCCCACGAATGACTGGCCTGTGGAACAGACTTCCAAGAGGATGTTTCTCCGATCACTACAATCTTAACCTGTTGAAGTTTAAAGTTAAACGTTATCTTCCCCGCAATCCATATGAACTACCGCTTAACGTTGCCCTCTACCTTGAGTTGCCCACGGGCTTTTACAGGGTGAATCTTACTTTTGTAGGATGGCCTTCGATGTAAGTCAGATGTGATGCAGAGAGGGCAAAAACAAAGGATAACCATCTGATCCACGTAAAGCACTTGTTGTGCAAGTTGAAACATAAGAGCTTGGAATGCTTAAATTTTTTCACTATTTACATTATTCGGACTAATGTCCTCATCTTTGTCGCCATATTTATTACAACGTTTCGGACGTTGTACGCTCTGGCCTTCTTCAGGTGGTTGGAACGTCGAACTGAACCCTTTATTTCGCTCACTGGGGTAGACTGTTCTAGTTTCACGTGCGATGTTTAATGGATGTCAGTTATCAGTTATCTCCTGTTAATTCCCCTCTCCAAGTTCTCCACTGACTTAACCGAGTATTGAACTCACACTCGTTGGGTCCTGTAACTGGATCTAACCAACGCCTTTATCCATTGTGCCATGTGTCCTTGAGGAAGGCCGGAGCGTACAACAGCTGAAACGATGTAATAAATATGGCGACAGAGATGAGGACAATAGTCCGAATAATATAAAATAGTGTACATAATACCTCATCTCAGAAATATAGACAGATTAAATTTTCTCATCAGAGAAAACAGCCGAAACGTTGTGATATTGACAACTGAGATGAGTCCGTCTGTAATTAATTTAAATTAATGGAGCTATTCAATGAACGGATTTGGCTTGATACTTGACTATGTTGTATTTATAAAAAAACATACATAAGGGAACGGAATGGAAAAATAATCTTTTGAATTCATAAATGTCTCGGCACAAAGCTCGATGTCTACTCGTTACAGTTAAAATTAATAATGAAGAGGTTGTGAGATATGAACGAAAGGGTTAAGTGATAAAGAAGTGATTAGGAAGAGAGTGGAGAGATAATCTTTGATACAAAGAGATTAAGATTAAGATTACAGGGTTCAGGGAAGTATCCAGGTCTGAATCTCTTCCACACAGTATCAGTTCTTAGTTTGGTTTGGTTTCTTTTGTTTTACGGCATATCAACACTTCAATGGGTTATTTAATGCCGACAGGAATTTCAAAATAGATTGGTTTAGTTTATTTTGTTTTACGGCATATCAACACTCCAATCGGTTATTTAATGCCGACAGGAATTTCAAAATAGATTGGTTTAGTTTATTTTGTTTTACGGCATATCAACACTTCAATGGGTTATTTAATGCCGACAGGAATTTCAAAATAGATTGGTTTAGTTTATTTTGTTTTACGGCATATCAACACTCCAATGGGTTATTTAATACCGACCGGAATTTCAAAATAGATTGGTTTAGTTTATTTTGTTTTACGGAACATCAGCACTTCAATTGTTTTTTTTTTTAATTCCGATAATATTTTTAGGAGTCGTTCGTATGAAGTTGTAGATCAGATTTCACTGACTTATTTTTGTAAAGAGGGTTTATGTCGAGAGTCAAATCTATTACTGGCTATATATTTTTTTCCAAAAATGTATTGCTAGTAATATTTTTTCGAAAATGTATTGCTGATTTTTTACTATAAAAAAAAACTATTTTTATATTTTCACAGTGTTGGGACCCTAACAGGTGCTACCACCCCGGATGAGGGTGGACCTGGCAACAACAGCGATTAAGAACTGGTTCCACACTCCTCAAAACCTCATGATCTTGCTGCCGGATATAGTTTATTGTCTTACCCAGGACGAAGCAGTTCCTGGAAGAAAAACAATAACAAAAAAAAAAAAAAAGAAAAATGTATTACGCTTGGAACACGGGAGAAATGATGATGTTTTGGTTACGTGGCAATGGTATATTGTGTCTGCGCTGTAAAGTTCTGAACTGTTGGAACTAAGGAATGAAAGTCATATTTATATTTGTCATGGTAATATCGACAGAGTAGCGATAGGCTTGCGAAGTTGCGACTTTTGGGACGCATGAAAAGGGGGGGATTAAGAGTAAAGAAGTATTTCAAAGAAGATGTCTGATAGTTAGAAATAAATTATTGATAAAATCAAACAATACTGATAGAAATACAAAAATAAGTAAACGACGAAAAACAACGAAGCGAAACTGAAGCAAAAGGGAAACTGAAGCAAACTGCCTATAAAGATTGAATGTTGGTAACAAAATGAAAACAAAGTAAAAATTATTATCAAACATGTTAAAGTATGGGGTATCAAGGAAGGTGAAAAAAAATGGCGTGAATGGAGATCAGAAAGAAGAAACGAAAGATAATGAAGAAACACGGGTCATGGAAATGAAAATAAAAATTAGATTTAAATAAAATGGTTGAAAAATAAACACATGCAAACAAAAAGATTAAAGGGCAAAAGATTGAAATAATGAAATGAAAAATTTGATTGGAAGATTTTTTTAATGTTTTTTTTCTTTTTAATTATCGTTCTACAAATCTTTCGCAGATGGTGAAAGAAAGATTGGATTTTCTTTGCCTGAAGATTCACGTGTTTCTGGCACGAACTCGAAAAAATAAATTGGTTTTGACTCCCGGTTGCTCCCGACAACAACAACAACAACAACGACGACGACGATGACGACGACGACGACGACGACGACGACGAAGAAGAAGAAGAAGAAGAAGAAGAAGAAGAAGAAGAAGAAATGATGACAAAAAGAAGAGCACAAGATGTAAGAATAATTAATTTGTAGATGCAAGAAGACGAATGAAATATAAATAAAAAGAAAAGGTGAAAGAAAAATAGTAGAAAATAATAGGAAGTAGTTGGAGAAAATATAAACGAGATTGAAAGAAGAAGAAGAAAAAGAAAGAAGAAGAGAAGAAGAAGAAGAAGAAGAAGAAAAAGAAAAAGAAAAAAAAGATGATGAAGATGATGATGAAGAAGAAGAAGAAGAAACGGAAAGTGATATCTTCGTGGCGATAGTCATAGATAATGATAATGGTGGTGATGATTATGGTGATGATGATTATGGTGATAAAGGAGTTGAAGAAAGAATTAGAATAGAAGAAAAATAATATTGACGAAAAAACAGTAATAAAAAAGAGAAGAGGAAAAAGAAGAAGATGATAAGAAGAAGAAGAAGAAGAAGAAGAGAAAATATAGTTAAAAAGAGTTGCTTAAAAGAACAAAGAAAGAAGCAGCAGCCGCAGCAGCAGCAGCAACAGAAGAAGAAGAAGAAGAAGAAGAAGAAGAAGAAGAAGA